AAGTCATGAGGTGGAAAGCACAAGTCAATAGAAAACACAAGTCAGGAAGTAGAAAACACAAATCAATAGAACACAAGTCAGGAGGTACAAAACAAGTCAGGAGATTGAAAGCAAGTCAAGAAATGGAAAACAAGTCAGAAAGGAGAAAAACAAGTAAATAGAAAACACAAGTCGGGAGATCGAAAAACAGGAGTTGAAAAAAAAAAACAAGTCACAAGGTAAAAAACACAAGTAAATAGAAAACACATCAGAAGGTAGAAAATCCAAATCCAAAACACAAGACAGGAGGTGGAAAAACACAAGTCGGGGGGTAGAAAACAAGTCAGGAGATGGAAAACAAGTCAGAAAGTAGAAAAACAAATCAGTATATTGAAAAACATTAGTCAGGATGTAGAAAAAGCACAAGTCAAGAAGTAGAAAAGACTGAAAGGGTGTTTTGTTTTGTTTTTTATAAAAGTATTTACTTGGCTGACTGACTCGGAGCAGGGATGAATAATTAATGGATCTTTGCAGCTTGTTTAAGACATGTGGCGTTTTATATGTCCGTTTTAACACAACATATTATGGTTTGGCGCCGTCCCTCGGTAGTCCGTCATTTCTGTCAGTAAACAGTCTGGAATCTAAATCTATAACTCTTTAACGTAGAAATGTCAGACTATACAGCTGAACATCTCATGGATCAAGGATGATCCCTGTTGATTTCAAGGTCGCTGGGTTAAAGGTCAAGGTCACAAGTGACCCTTATGTTAAAACCTTTATGCTTTAGACAGAAACGTCAAACCCCTGTCAAACAACCAAATTTCATGAAAGACACTCCGTCTCACTACAGGAACCCAACATTCCTGGTTATTTTTGTTACTTTTTCACATTATGGGAACGCTGAGTTAGAAGAAATGCTTTTCAGAACTACTGGAGCAACGTGTTTGAACAGGACAGCAGCCAAAGACCAAAGGACGAAGGAAAACATTCAGTTTCTCCTGAGCTGAACTTGCCTGGACATGTCGGGAATATCTGAGTTTTCTGAGGACCCACCTAATGCTGCATGTGTTTAGATATTACCCTGTCATGAAGGAACATCTGACACTTTTATCAGAACGGGAACAAACAGAGAATTAGAGCAGAATGAAGTAAAAATCAGTGAAATTGATCAATACAGAGTTCTAGTTCAAACTGCAAACATTTAAGCGAATCAGTATGTAACAAACTAAGTGCCTAATAGACTATTTAAGTACAAATCATAGTTAAATTCAAAATATTTTCGTTTGCGTATTAAATTTGGAAAACTAACAATAGAAAAACAGCTTTACCCGTACGATAAGATTCATTTGTGACAATAACAGAAGAAATTCAAAACGAAGGTGTTAAAAGTTACTGTTTAGTTTGTAACGTGTCTTCATTTCTGCTTACCGTTCAAATTCAGCTGAATACCTGAAAACAAGTTGCATTTGTCCAGGAAGCTTCCATTTAGGATTTAATTTTGGGACACTCTTTACTGACGATAAGAAAAACTTGCTAGTTTTATTGTTTAACGTGGTTGAAGCTCAGAATCAAAATGATACATTTAGGGTCAAATGTATCCATAGAGAAAGTTACAAAGATCGGCCTGTTTGGACACAAAGACGAGAAGGATGTTTTGGAGGAGTCAAAGTGAGGCTTTCAGACCTAAAAACACAGTGCCATGTGTCAAACATGGTGGAGGTATCATCATGCTGTGGTACAACATGAAGAAGGCTACCTCCAAATTGTTCACCGTCTTCACCTGGAATCATCAGATGGACGTAGACACAGTGAGCAGGACCGCAATCCCGAACACACATCCGAATCGAGTTCTGAAAGGCTAACTTTAAGGTTCTGAAGTGGCCTTCCCAAAGCCCCAAACTCAACATGATTAAAAACTTGTGGACTCTGATTTAAAAAGTCAGGTCCATTCAGAGAAACCAACTAATTTAACTAAACTCTGGTCAAATAACAGCCAGAATTCTGCTGAATCTATTTTTATCGGAAGCTCTGTGGTTTTAACGTTGATTCTACTTTTAGGAGAATGCTTTGTTCATGTTTTGTTGAGTCTCTTTTAATGTTCACCTTCTTCTGCTGGTTGGACTTTTAACATGTAAGAACAAGAACAAGGCAAGATCAGTGAACAATGCCAGGCTGATTCTGGCAGATCCTGTTCATCCACTCCATGGTGAGTTCAGGTTGCTTCCATCTGGACGCAGGTATCTGCTGCCCAGATGTAGGACGGACAGACTGAATGTCTCAATGTCTAGTCTAGTATGAGTGTTTTGTGTGACTACTGACTGTGAAACAAATTGCCCCTCGGGGATAATAAAGATTCTTGAACTTGAACTTGAAACCAAGGTCCAGGTGACCCTGGCTTAGGAACTTGGTTCCATGGTTGTAACTTGCTCTTGTTTAAATGGTAATCAAAACATTTAGTCAGTTTTATCTAAAAACAAAACCCCAACAATCAAAACCAATGGAGCTTTGACCACGTTTTGACCATATAAGGCCGTTCCTGTGTGAAACCAATACCAAGGGCGGCTGTGGCTGAGTGGTTAGAGCAGCCGTCCTCCAATGCAAGAGTTGGGTGTTCGATTCCACCAGCAGCTACATGTCCAAGGGTCCCTGGGCAAGACACTGAACCCCTCATTGCCTCCGATGTGTGTTCCATCGGTGTTTGAATGTGATAAAGCACTGATCATTCTTTGTATAGATCTAGTAGAGTGCTCTATGAATGGGTAAATGAGGGCACAGATTGTAGTGTAAAGCGCTTTGAGTATTTTGATCAGATAGAAAGGTGCTATACAAGTACAATCTATTTACCATTTACCAATAGATCTCAGGAGTAGGGTATGTTGTTAGAGGAGGACTATGTAACATGTGGTGGTTTTACCTCTCCATCTCTGGTCTCGATGGTCTTGATGAGGACAGTCTTCTTTGAGTGCATCTCGGAGGAACGCTGCTGGTGTTCCGGACTGGTCTCTAAACCAACAGAACCAGAAAGCGTCAGGAGGAATACAGTCTTTAATAACGTTTTGACCGATGAAGTATGGTTCTGTCGTGGTGTGTTCAGGGCACAGAAGGGGGGTTCGTACCTCTGAAACTCAGCGTGGCGTAGCTCTGAACAGGAAGGGTGATCCTGTGGAGACCCACAGCCGTCAAAATGAGGAACAAACCATAAGGATGAAGACTGATTTTGGTTTTGCTTTACCTGCTCTCCTCCCCTTCCAGCAGCTTCCTGTAGGTGGCGATCTCCACATCCAGCGCCATCTTGACGTTCAGCAGGTCCTGGTACTCACGGAGGTGGCGCGCCATCTCGTCCTTCAGGTTGATGATCTCCGCCTCCAGTCGTGCGATGGTGTCCTGGAAGGAGGCGGCCTCCTGCCCGTGGCGGTCCTCCAGGTCCCGCATCTGCCTCATCAGGGACTCATTCTGGGGTTTGATCAGAGAAGCAAGTTGAGCTGAGACCAAAGGTCAGAGGTCAGGTGTGTGTGTTTTCACGTACAGTGCCTTTGAGGGAGTCGATCTCGCAGGTGTAGGCCTGGATTTGGTGTCTGAACTCCATGGTCTCCTGCCGGGCCTGCTTCAGGGCCTCGTTGTTCTTACTCACCGCCTGGTTCAGGTCCGACACCTGCAGGGTCAAAGGTCGAATGTCAGCTTTCCTTGTTGTTGGTGTGTAATTTGTAGCTCCTTCTAGTGGTTTTTCTTCTCCCTAGTATTCATTGTTTCAAAATATCTTTATGTCTCTTTATTTTTGATGATTTGTTTTGTGTTTTTGGATTGTTTATTAGGTTTATTTGACCAGTTTTGTTTATTTCATTGAAAAACAGACAACTAGTCCTCAGACATCCCGTGTTGTGTTTGCTGACCTCTGGTGGTCTCATGGCTGTTTCTCTCACCGTTGATTTAAATGTATTTTTTTTCATCAAACTTTTAGCAAAACATCTCATGAACCACTGGACGGGTCAGAATGAAACTCCTATAAAGTAACCATCAGATGAACATCTACAGCTGTTTGACATTTGTCATCAACCGGATTCAAGATTTAAGCTAAGGTTTGAGCGGGCGATAAGTTTTCCATCAGAGTTGATGAGTTGGAAAGTGAAACTCCGACCTTTGACTTGTACCAGTCCTCGGCCTCAGCGATGTTCTTGGCGGCGATGCCCTCGTACTGCGCCCTGATGTCTCGCAGCGCAGCCGTCAAGTCTGGCTTGGACATGTCCATCTGGATCTGGACCTGCGTCTCCTGCATCTGGTTCTGCAGCTCCCGGATCTCCTGCAGGGGAACGACCAGCTTTCAACTAACTCGTATATTTCACCACACCTCTGAACGATCGACAACGTTTGTTTCGAGGAGAAGGACCTCTTCGTGGATCTTCTTCAAGAAGGCGATCTCCTCCTGCAGAGTCTCGATCCGTCTCTCCAGGTCCAGGCGCGCCAGAGTAGCAGCGTCCACGTCCTGCAGCAGTTTGGACACTTAGGTTAGAAAATCAAAACAACAATATTTGTCAAAGAAAATTACTACAGTAAACAAAATGAATCTCCAAAACCTGAATAAAAGCTGCTAAAAAAAAAAAACTGATCTAGCAGCTGCAATAACTTATATAAAACACTAGAGGGCGCTCTGGTCAGGTGACCTTGTGATGCAGCAATGGTGGCCATTACCAAAAGGGTCAAACATCTGCACTTGGCCTTTTGACTAAATAGCTCTGATTAAAGGCTGTCTACGTCAAAATATCTAAAATAAAAATAAAGTGTATGTAATATAATAATAATAATAATATATTGCATATAAAATGTAAAAATGTCAGAAAGCTGTTAGCAACAGAAGAGAAAACATATCTCCTTATTTACCTCAGTGTGTTTAGAAGTTAATAATATAACCGTTTAAAAGTAGCCAGCCTATAAAGCTGATGTAATGGTTGTTAATTAAATTAGCTAGTAGATTAGCTAGGGATTAGCTTCTGGATTAGCTTCTGGGGCAGATATTGCTTTGCTGTACTAGGATGAATCATGCTACAATTTAGTGCAAATTATTAAAGAGTACAAGCTGCTGTTATCGCTACTAACAGTTCATCTGCTGTCTTTGCATGAATTCTGAAAATGTACTTTTTAAGGTTATTAGACACTGATCATTAGCTGCAGCTAGCATAGCCGACTTACACACAATTTACACGTTAACAAAGTTAGTTACAAATTCATCAACTAGCTGAAGTCATAATTATTCAACCAGCTAAAAAGTCATGAAATCATGAATTAATTACTGACGGACTTCAGGTCTGCTTTAGGCCATCATTAGTTATATGATATGTTTTCCTTCCATAACATCAGCCATGATTTTTGTATGAAACTAACTTTAATTATAAGTTAGCTATTGTAAAGATACTAAGAATAATTTGTGACATAAATCCAGTTTGGCTTGCTGTTCTTTAAACTGTTGTTTGTCTGTGAGCAGTTGTCTGTTTTGGACGCCATCTTAGCTTCCATGACGTCACAGATGTAAACAATGAGCAGGATGGGCAGATCACCCTCTAGTGGTTTATAGATCTCTTACTTTTTAATTTACCTTTTGTCAATTTCCATTTTACAGCCAAACTGTTGAATGGTTACTAAGATGTGGATTTTACTCTTGAATTAGGAGGAAAAGTGCTTCTAGACATGATATGTCTCCATCAAGGGTTTTAGTTCTGCAGTGGCAGAGCTTAAATGGGGGGGTTCCGCAGGGGTCCATCCTGGGTCCCCTCCTATTCTCTTTATACCTGCTGCCACTTGGTGCTATTTTCCGGAAACACAACATACCCTTTCACTTCTATGCCAATGACTGTCAAATTTACTTCCCCCTAATGGTACATGCTCTATTCAACCTCTGCTCGACTGCCTGGCTGACATCAGGGACTGGATGGCTTTAAACTTCTTAAGTTTCAATGAAAAGAAGTCTGAAGTCATATTGTTCCCTCCCAATGACACGATCACAAACCACTGCATCGACCTTTCTACTCTATCCCTATCAGAAAAACAAAGAGTCACTGATCTGGGCGTGATAATGGACCCGTCCCTGAAACTTAACAATCACGTAAACATGATTGTTAAATCATGTTTCTTCCAACTGAGGCGGCTGTCTAAACTGAAGCCCATATTGACCAAAAATAACCTGGAGACAGTAATACATGCATTCATTACATCTAGGCTTGATTACTGCAATTCGCTCCTGTTTGGTATCAGTCAGACCTCCATTGCACGACTACAACTGGTCCAGAATGCAGCAGCCCAATTTTTAACCTGTACAGGCAAAAGAGAGCACATTATACCAGTTTTGGCCTCACTGCACTGGCTACCGGTTCACTTTCGAATCCAGTTCAAAATACTTCTGTATGTCTACAAATTGCTGAAGAGTTTTGCCCCCCCATCTCTCTGATCTGCTACAACCGTATGTCCCACTACGTTTCCAGAGGTCAGCGGACCAGTTGCTCCTCACAGTTCCAGGAACTCTTCTTAAGCGCAGAGGTGACAGGCCTTCTCTGTAGCAGGACCAAGACTTTGGAATGAGTTGCCTCTGCTTGTCAGACAGCCCCCCTCTCGGTTTTCAAGTCCCATTTAAAAACCCACTATTATTCAGTAGCTTGCAACACCAGATGATCTGTGTTTTGATCCTGTACTCTCCACACTGGTTAGTCGTCATATTTATTATCTGCATCGTTTTTATGTCTTTATTCTGATTTACCTCATTTTGTATATTGCTTTGTGTGTTGCCTGTTGTTCTGTCTGTACAGCACTTTGGTTGGCCTTGTCGCTGTTTGAAGTGCTCTATAAATAAAATAGTATGGCATGGCATGGTATGGTATGGTATGGTATGGTATGGTATGGTATGGTATGGTATGGTATGGTATGTGCCACAAAACAGCATGGAGAAGAAATAAAGTTATTGCAACTAAATATAAGAATTCAAGTCTAGACAAAGCAAATATGGAAATTACTGCCTCAGATGAGTTGGTGGACCATCCAGACCATGATCCCCTGTCAGAATGTTTCTGTGTCCGTCTTGTTCAGCAGATAAACACATGGGATGTGGGCGAGACTTACTGCTCTGAACGCAGCCAGGTTGTTCTCTGCTTCTTCTTTCTGAAGAATCTCCTCCTGCAGTCTGAGCGAACATTAAGGAGAAACAAGCTTTACTGAATAAAAACAATTTCACAGACGTACCTGGACCGTTTTAAACACGCCTTCAACGTAAAATCCACCTTTAATCTGCTATATTCAATTCAGTTCAGTTTATTTATACAGCGCCAAGTCACAGCAGAAGTCATCTCAGGGCACTGAACAGAAAATGTATAAAATATCCATCCATCCATCCATCCATTATCTTTACCCGTTTATTCCATTTTGGGTCACGGGGGTCGCTGGTGCCCATGTCCAGCAATCACTGTGCGAGGGGCGGGGTACACCCTGGACGGGTCGCAAGTCCATCACAGGGCCACATAGAGACAAACGAGACAAACAACCATTCACTCTCTCACTCACACCTAGGGACAATTTAGAGTTACCAATCAGCCTAACATGCATGTTTTTGGTCTGTGGGAGGAAACCGGAGCACCCGGAGAAAACCCACGCATGCACGGAGAGAACATGCAAACTCCACCCAGAACGGCCCCTGGACCGGGGTTTGAACCAGGGACCTGCTTGCTGAGAGGCAGCAGCTCTACCAGTTGCGCCACCGTGCTGCCCTGTATAAAATATATAAAATAATAATCTAATTATCTGAGGAGCAGACTGAAGGCGACAGTGGAAAGGAAAAACTCCCTCGTGAGGAAGAAACCTTTAACAGAACCAGGCTCAGGACGAGCGGCCATCTGCTTCGACCGGCTGGGTTTGAGAGGAATAGATACACAATGGCAGGCCGAAAATCACATTAAGATAGAAATAGTATCAAATGAAAACTATTCAATTTTAACATTTCGTTTAAGGAAATGACGTCCATTTGTCCTCTAGTCGTCCAATGGGCAGTTTATTGAGCGACACCGCGTACACATACGCGGCCATTAAAGTTTATCTTTGTGCGGACATGGCTGGTGGACGTCCGCGTTGAGTCCCTGTTAAGTCCGCCTCAAGTACGTGCGGACCTCGGCAGAGTGAAGTACGCCCGAGTATGTGGGGGCTTTAAGTCTGTGTCAGCATAATAAACCAACCCTAACTATAAGATTTATCAAAACGGAAAGTCTTAAAACTGGACAATGTGTCAGCCTCACAGAAACTGGAAGTTGGTTCCACAAGAGAGGAGCCTGATAACTGAAAGATCTTCTTCCCATTCTGCTTTTGAAAACTCTAGGAACCACAAGTAAACCTGCAGTCTGAGAGCAAAGTGCTCTGTTAGTAAAATATGAAACAATAAGATCTGTAATATCAGATGGAGCTAGGCTGTTGAGAGCTTTGTAGGTTAGAAGTAAGATTTTGAATTCATTTCTGGATTTGACAGGGAGCCAGTGGAGAGAAGCTAAAACTGGAGAGATCTCTCCCACTAAGTCCAGTTAAGACTCTGGCAGCAGCATTTTGGATCAACTGAAGACTTTTTTTTAAAAGACGTTTTAAAAATCTACATCTGAGCTCAACACAATATTATTATTAGATTCAGATTCAGAGCTTTGATGGTCTCTGAAAGAAAGAAGTGGATTATACAGGAAGACAATACATAAAAAGTAGAGTAGCTACATTAAAGAGGGCATTAGGACATAAAGTTAAAAAAAACCTGCCGTGTAGATTCATTCTGATCCTGGGTCAGTTTTCTGTCATTCCTGAGGTTCCTGGTTATTGGACTAAAACCAGGTTGTTTTATTTGTGAGTGCTTACCAAGCATTTTCTTCTGCCTTTGTCAGCTTTAGTTCAACTATTTTCAGCATTTCAATTATTTCTAGCTTTGTTCAGCTATTTTCATCTTTGATTGAGTTTTTTCCCTCTTTTCAACGGTTCAACTGTTTTCAGGTTTCACACACCTTCTTTTGGGGCTTCTTCCACTGGTTTTAGCTTTTCTTCTGTATTTTTGAGCTTTTTTTTCAGTGTTTGTTCAACCATTTTCCGGTTTTCTTTAGCTATTTTAACCTTTTTGCCTAATTGTATTTGGGTTTTGTTCACCTATTTTCAGGTCTCTCGTGTTTTGTACTTTTTTTTTTTTTTTTGAATGCTCATTAATAATTTTTTCCTGCTTTTTCTTTTGCTTTATTCAGCTTTAGCTCAACTATTTTTAGGGTTATTCGGATATTTTCAGCTTTAGCTTTTAAATTATTTGATCAGACATTTAAATATTTCTTTCTTTTCAGTTTTCGTGTAGCTCTTTGCATTTCTTCATCAAATATATACATATATACAGTATATACATATATATATATATATATATACACTGTATATATTGTCAAAGTTTATTCAAATTATTTTAAAAAAAACTTTAACCAGAGGATTTTGTTTGTCTAAATGGTTTTATGATACTAATGAGGTCGCAGATTAATTTAATTTAGATTTATTTCTTTGTAGATACAGAGTTTTATGACTCCTGCGTGGGAACTATTTAAACATTCATCCCTTGAATTAATGCTAATCCCCCACCACCTCACACGATCTGTCCGTGCTCAGAGTGTGAGTTGAGAATGACTCTCAGCTACTACCACGCCAAATGTAAGCTCATTATTTGTTAAAACTGACCGAGTTGTAGATGTTTTTGTTTTTCATGAAATAAATGTTCAAACTTAAACTGAAAAATTATTTTGCAATCACTTCAAGGTTGATTCATAAACTACTGGTTTCCTTGTTTTGTTGTAAAGTTGATTAGTTGTAATTTAAGATCATCCGAGCCATGAAGAAACTGTCCCAGGGCCATTTCTTGCCCTCAGACCTGAAACTGCTAACGTGCTCCAAGTCAAGACCATATTTTTTTAAACACCATTTTACCTAACCTAAATCTAAAACTTCCTGCTAACTTTTTGTTTAAAAACTTTAATCTGAGCTTTGTTTTTGCTCAGCTAGCTTTAATATTAGCTCCGCCTTTTGTTTTAAAAGAGGTGGGGCTAACTCTTACTTTATATTACTCTACTTGTAATCTTATCCCCGTCTTTTGTTTAAAAGAGGCGGGACTAACTTTCTTTAATACTACCTGTAATCTAACCCCCGCCTCAAGTTTAAAAGAGGCGGGGCTAACTTTTTTTAATACTACCTGTAATCTAAGCCCCGCCTCAAGTTTAAACGAGGCAGGGCTAACTCTTACTTCCCATTACACTACTTGTAATCTTAGCCCCGCCTCCTCTTAAAGAGACAGACGCACATACTTGTTGCCACGCCCACCTGATTTTGAGCTTGTCCAGGTCATCAGCCAGGTTGTCCCGCTCCACCTCGAGGCGTGACCTCTGATTGGTCAGGATTTCCACCTGCCTCTTCAGGTCGCTCATCTCCTCCTCGTACAGGTCGGAGACGCGCGTGGGCTCGTGGCCCCGCAGGCGCTCCACCTCCACCGTCAGCGCCTGGTTCTGCTGCTCCAGGAAGCGGACCTTCTCGATGTAGCTGGCAAAGCGGTCGTTCAGGTGCTGCAGCTCGGCCTTCTCGTTGGTGCGCGTCGTCAGAAACTCCTGGTTCAGGGCGTCCGCCAGGCTGAAGTCTAGGGTCTCCCCCAGGCCGGCGTAAGAGCGGCTGACGGAGGCCCGTGAGGTCCCTAAAGGCCTGCCGTAGTAGCCTGAGGAGACCCTGTAGGTGGGTGTGGAGCTGGTGCGGGTCACCTCGTAGACCCTGGAGGTGAGATGACCCCCAGCACCTCCACTGTGGCCCAGCAGGGGGCGGTTCAGGGAAGGTGAGGCGTAGGCACCATGCCCAAAGGTGCGACGGTATGAGGAGGCGGTTTGGGCAGAGGAGGTGTAGGAGGCCATATTGGAGGACCAGAAGAGGCTGCGGCAGAGAGGTGCACTGAAGGAGAAACAGACTGCCCCTGGGTATTTGTAGTCCCCCCACCCTCCTCCCAACCTCCCTGTGAACCGCCATCCCTCCTCCTCTTCCTCACTGTTTCTCGTTAACCTTCTCCCCTCTTCCATCTCCCCCATCACGTTCAAGAACCAGGTTTACTGCTTTGCTGTCCCACCAGCACCAGGATCAGTGCGTGAACGTTTTGCAGGTCCAGCCGGCGTTCAGGACAGAGGATCCTAAACATTTCAGCTTTCAATTCACAAACTCAGACTTTGACTTTGTGTCTTCAAGTCCACAAATATTACAAATCCAGCTTTCAACAAAGCGCCTCGACAGCTTTAATATAACTCTTTAACCATTTAAGATGACTGTTTTTATCCCAGTAACAGCTGAGACTAAATATGGTTTAAAAAGTAAGAAATCTACCGTAGAATTTATCCACTGTAAGGTTTATACCAGGGGTTCTCAAACTTTTTGGGTTCAGGGACCCCCTCATAACCCTCATGTTAATTAAATAATCTTCTTCAATTTGTCACTTTAATGCAATGGAAATATTTGTGTAACATAAATACTTAAGACCTTGCTCTTTAATAGTGTTAATACAATTTTTATACTTTTAAACACGGGGTAGTTTTCATTCAAGACGCACTTAATTAACACAGTTTTTAACTTGAACTGCCAAAAATTGCAGTTTTATATAAACAAACAGTTCCTCCCCCAGAAAATTTTGAATAAAGTAGATGTGATTTCCTGCATTTTGGTGTATTTTAATGGGTTGTTAAACATTTATGTGCTTGTAACAATAAAAAAAAAACGTTTGTTTTTTTTTGAGGACCCCCCCGGGGATCCCAGTTTGAGAACCACTATAATATATGTTTACAGTGATCTTACGGTTATTGAGCTATAGTTTTACTGTGAATTCATTCTATTTTTACTGCACACGAATCAGAGTAAAAATCTTAACTGTTTACAGTTTACAACATGCGCTTTAATACCATATTACTGTAATATTATTATACTGTTTGTTTTCCTGCATTTTTGTTGTTATTTACAACCTACTTCGGCAATTTTTGTGCTATCCAAGTCGTTCTTGTATCAAGATGTTGAGCTTCATCAAAGTTCATGCTCAATCATCCAGGTATAAAATCCAATAATGGTCAGTCAGGTCATCTGGACAGCTTTTGTGTGTGTGTGTGTGTGGAAAGATGTTTCGCCCTCTATCCAGAGGGCTTCATCAGTCTGAGGAGTCCCAAGTAAATTGTTTTCCCCACTAAGCCGTACACTCCATTAGTGGACCAACCAGTTTACCGGAGCTAAGATGGTTCCTGGGGGGCGTCCTGTCCCCCGTCGACTCCTCCCAGACTGGCAGCCAAAGTGGTTCAAGCCAACAAAGTTCATGCTCAGTCATCCAGGCACCAAATCCAATAATGGATGAATGGATGGAAGATGTTGAGCTCATTCAGGTGAGGGGTGCTGTGTTTTTTAGTTTTGTCATTTTTATACTTTTTTTTTTTTTAATATTTCACTTTTTTTTACAAATATTTTTTAATCAATAGATAAAAATACATGTTCCCTCCGAAGCACTCCTTGAAATCTGCTTTACTCGGTCTAGTTTTGTCTTCTGCTATTTCAAGCATCTAGCTATTGTCAAGGTTCTTTACTGTCATTCGCATCACACGTGGTACATGAGGTGGAACAAAATTGTGTACACAGGGTCACAGTTACACCCAAAAATAGCAAAAACATGACGTGTACAAAGAAACTGTAAATAAGGATCCGAGATACAAGCTAAGAAATACGCTAGTCACTGATGGTGCAAAACAATACATCGAACAACAGCAGCACGAACCTGAGTCTGTGTGGGTGGATGAGTACGAATGAATGAACACAGCTGCATGAAATAATCAGCAGCATGAAATCAGCAGCATGGATAATCAGCAGCACACAATCAAAGTTGCATTACAGTGATTTTTCCCCCACTACTTTTAGCTGTTAAATAACATTTGGCTGCTTTTAGCTTCTATTTTGCCAGCAGCAGTCTGTCATTCAACTCTGTAGCCCGTTTTTTTTGCAGTATTTCACCTGACTTTAAATTATTTTAATTCCCCGATTTATATTATTCTACCTGTTAGCCACTTTCAAATCTACTAAATAAATGCTAACCTTTAGCCAGAGGTGCTAAAAACAAGCTAATTTTCCTCAAAATGGCCCTCCTTGAGAGCTCTCAGGAGTCATTTTTCAAGACTTTATGTTTACTTTATTGATGCTTTTGAGGATGTTTGTTGTTGTTCTGTTATTTTAGGACTTGGATTTGAAATTGGATCTGTTTATGTGTAAATAACACGTTATAATGGTCAAAACTCAGCTCAGATTTTGTCTTGAATCCTGATCATTGCTCTGCTTTATTGTGAGCAGTTCACACGTAAAACCGTGATGCTCTCTCCGTTCATCTGTCTCTGAGGCGTCACCGTTTAACAATGTGAAGATGCAACAGCAGATGCATGGCCCTCACATGGCGAGGCGGCTCAGGTCGTCGATGACTTCATCCCTGCAGGAGGAAGAGCTCCGACCGGCCTGCCTTAAAAAGGAAAACTATCCTGAGAGTCACACAGCAGCTCTGGGCTTTATATTCAGAGTCGGATCAGCTGCTCTCAGGGTTCAAATGTAGAAATCAGCAGAATTTACTAAAATCGTTGCAACTATTAAACATTTATTTAGCATATAAACTGCCCACAGGTTTAATTTGTCATCATTTTTTTTAATCAGCTAATTGTTTATATTACAGGAAAGTGGGATAAAATCCATTTTTTTCCAACAGAATTGATATTTTTGATGACAACTTTTATGTTTTTGTTGGTCACAAGACCCTTTAATTGGTCCATATAATAAAAATATAATATTAATGATGTAATGTCCTTAAAATATTTATGGATGTTACTGTCCTTCACAAAGTTCCTTATTCACAGATCATTTTCATAAACATGGCTGCTTGTTCAACAGGTCTCGACAGTTAAAGCAGCGCACAGTAAGTTACTGCGGACTTGTTGGTTTTCACCAGGGGCGATTCTAGAATCTGACCGTTAGGGGGGCTTAGCCCCCAGTGCTGACAATGGCTCTTGGATTGAACAACGTGGTGGCCATTGGCGTCAGAAGCATTCATAATGTGGGGGGCACACACTGGTTGGGTGTCTGGGGGTCCTCCCCCAGAAAATTTTGAATAAAATAGATGCCTTTTTCTGCATTCTGGTGTATTTTAACAGGTTTTTAAACATCTACGTTTGTCTACAGAAGTAAACACTTGATTCAATAACTATTTTTGAGAGCTCGACACAACAAGACGTAGCGCTAAGCTAGTGGCGTGCAATACAAACGTGCTAGCTAAGATGCTACAGACGTAGCGCTCTGCTTTACATTACTCACCCTAATAAGCGCTTTGTACAAAATCAGTTTAGCGTTAACTGATCATAAACTAAGACTAAACATATGCAACCAGGAGTTGTAACATATAAAACACACAAAACAAAGTAAAACTAGCTTTAATCGTTAACCTTTAATGTAACCTTTAAGCATAACTGCAGTTACATTGGTACAGATGAACATGTGGTACTTCCTGTTTATCACTGTTGCAATCAGCTGCTCATGAGGTCAGCTGCAGGGATTTATCATCTTTTACATTTTTCCAGACTCAGTTTAGGTTCTGGAAATGGAATAAACTGTATTCCACCTCCACGAAAACTGCTCAGGGGGCCACTGATTCTGAAACCAGCAGCTCAGGGGCCGGACATCCAGCGATTAAAATCATTATGTAAATAAACCAAGTATTATAATAATCTTTTACTGTTTATTTTGTTGCATTGAATCATAAATACAATAAACAGAACCCAA